GAACATACTTCTGACAGCAGCTGGAGCCGTTTGATAATCTCGTTTTGTTGGAGTTCTTCCATAGATTTCTTTGAAGGCATCTCTCCAGCTTGACATAAACTACACTCAAAACTGTCGCAAAAGAACCTGAAATACAAAAGAAAACAATCTTCCAGGATTTAGTAAAAAGAATTCTTACAAGATTTGAGAAGGTATTTTATAGTGAGAAAAGTACTCTCTGAGTAGGCACAACTATCAACTGGCAATTTGGAAAGATAGCAGTGGTGCCGTGGTTTGAATGGCAAAAATTGGCGCCAAAATGTGCCGGCCACTTTCTGACAATTGACGAAATGTTGCCAATGGTTTTGGTGACTAAACTTCCTTATACTGAATGTACCCACCTGGTCGTTGGGCTATACGTAGTTACGAGTCTGTTTTTGTCTGAAAAGCCTATTGAACAATGATAGCAGTCAGCCAAATAAGTTTTTTGTCAACAAAGTATCTGCTAATTAGCAGTTATCAAAAAAAAAGAACTATCACTGTCTTCAAAGATTTTACACACTAATAGTTTGGCGTAGGAATTTTAAGTTGACAGACTCGTTTTATTAAAGCAGCAGAAATTCAAAAATTTTTTGCTTTAAAAATTGAAAGGAGCTGATAAACATTTGATAGCACAATGTAAAATGGTTATGCACGAAACTTTGAGGCAAGCAAAACACTTTTTGCTTCATGTTTACATCTTTTCTGAGATACTCTGTTAAAATTGGCCGTTTTTTGCACTGAATTTCTACAAATGCCATTTAAAAAAAAATTGCAGTTGAATTTGTTTGCTGCACTTATGAATTTTGACCGTTATAGCTGCCCAAAAGAAATCTTTAAACCGTTGACTGAAAATTTTAAGAGTATAATACTGACGGATTGATTATTTCACCTGTACACAAATTTTCCAATAACATATCGGAAATTTCTTAAAATTGAATCATTGTCAAAAACCAAAGTTTCAAGTTCAAAAAATAGTGAAATTTGTCTGGAAAATTTTTAGAAACCACAGTTTAGGGTGGCCAAAAATGACATGGTTGAAACCGGATTCCAACTGCAGACAGCGGCGATAAATGTTTCAAATAAGTTTTCTACTGATGTTTTACAACTTTTTTTTGTGTGAGTAAATTTTCTTTTTTTTTTTTTTTTTTTTTTTTTTT